TCTACTCAACCCGAAAATGTAGTACTAATAAATGCTGCTTCCTTAGTAGCAGACGTCCACGAGGAGAATGAGAGACAGCCACCTGAGTGGAAAGGCATGTCGATGGAAAATGCAGACATATGGGTCAAAGAAACCTACTCAGAAATTGTCAGGTGGTTCGCCCGCTAACCTATTTGAAGCACCCAAGTGTGCGGCCACCAAAGAACTGATTCGTGAGATGACTCGCCTCATGACTGATTACACTCAGGACCGCTTCCTCGCCCCTTTAGCTCTTCAAATTCTGGCAATAATACCACATCTATTTTGTCAGAGGACACACACAAAGACTAAGCACAAAGAAAATGTGGCAGCAATGAAGAGAAGATTGGCAATGTGGCAGACTGGGGCCCTTGCTGATCTCCTATGTGAAGCAAGAACACTGCAGGAGAGACTAAAAATTACGGGTGACGGAAAGCAAAACACCGATGACGTCGCAAGAAAATTTGGAAACAAAATGTGTGTGGGAAAAGTGTCTCTGGCGGAAAGATCTCTCACAGAGGAATCCTCCGGTGGGGTTATGCCAATAAACAGAGATACAATAAAACTACTGAAAGATAAACATCCCCCTGCAAGTGATGAAGAAGGCATCAGGTTCGAGGGTGACTATATCCCACCAAACGCTGTCCTGTTCGAGAAAATAACAGGAGAGATGGTGTGGAAAAAGGCACTGAAGACTCGAGGAGAAGCCGGCCCTTCAGGTCTGGATGCAAACGGTTAGAGAGTCATCCTCAGCACAAACAAGTTTGGCCCTGTAGCAAGTGATCTCTGTACTGCCATTGCCGTCCTTGCAAGAAAGCTGGCATCCTCTTGCTGCCATCACCTCCAGGCCCTAACGGCCTGCCGCCTCATTCCTCTGGAAAAGAAGCCAGGATGTAGGCCTATAGGGGTGAGGGAAGTGCTGGGGCGGATCATCGGAAAATGCATAATGGAGGTGGTAAAGGATGATGTCAGGGCAGCAGCAGGGAACCTACAAGTGTGTGCTGGCCACCAGGCTGGCGGGGAGGTCGCCATTCACGCCATGAGATTGATATTTGAACAGCGTGATTGTGAGGCCGTTCTCCTGGTGGATGCTTCAAATGCATTCAACATACTTACCCGCAAGGCTGCACTGCACAACATCAAGATCAAGTGTCCAAGCTTTGCAATGTATGTTGAAAACTCGTATAGGAATCCATCAGACCTCTATATAGTAAACAAAAAGGCGCTAAGAGGTGATACCATCTTACAGTCATCCGAGGGAACAACACAGGGGACCCTGTTGCAATGGCAATGTATGCAATTGGCCTATCAGTGCTCCAACAAGAAATAAAATTTGAAACAACTGGGGTCAAACAAGTGGCGTATGCTGATGACCTTACAGGAGCAGGAAAAGTGGAGGGCATCAAAAAGTAGTGGGACTTGGTAACATCGCGAGGTCCACAAATAGGGTACCACCCAAACGCCAGCAAGTCCTTCCTCATCGTGAAGCCAGAACATTATGAACGGGCAGTAGAGGTGTTTGGCGGAAGTGAGGTCAAAATAACTAAGGACGGCCAAAGACATCTAGGCGCAGTAATTGGCACTACGGACTTCAAGACTGAGTACGTAGCGGGAAAGGTGAATGAGTGGGTAAGTGAAATCCAAGCGCTGTCTGCGATTGCTAACACAGAGCCACATGCGGCTTTTGCTGCATTCACCCATGGGGTCAAGCATCGTTGGAACTGCCTGATGCGTACTATCCTTGATATCGGACCCCTCCTCCACCCTCTGGAAGAAGCTATCAGAGTCAATTTCATTCCCAAATTAGTGAAACACCCTCACTTAACCCCAGCAGAAAGATCACTTCTTGCACTTCCATCAAGACTGGGAGGGATTGGACTAATCAATCCAGAGGAGATTGCAGCCACCGAACATCAAAATTCACTTAAGCTCACGGCAGCCCTCACGGACTACATAATAGCCCAGAACGCAACAGGGGAGGTGGATACCAGTGAAGTAAACAAAATTCGTAGGTCCATTACGACAAAACGACAGCTCTGCCAAAATGATAAGTTGCAGCAACTGTTGCTTCAGGTACCAGAAAAATTGAAAAAAAAGTAACTATAGCACAGAAGGTGGGCGCCTCGAACTGGTTAACTATGTTACCGATAAGGCGTCACGGAAACGTTGTGTGTGGGGACATCTTAGGAGGTAGTGGAAAAGGGGGGACATTATCTGTCGTACGGTAGTCATTGATTAATTAATTATTACCTTACATAGTTCATTGTGCATTATATTGAAAATTCGTTATATACGCCAGGAAGTTACCTTGGTGGGGCAACTCCTCGTGTTATGTATTTCTGCGCAGGCAGGTGGCTGGCTTTTGGCAGTACTTCGCCACATGGTTGTCTCCGAAGTAGTTGTAGCACACCACAGGGGGAGGAAACCACCGTCTGATATTACTAGGAATATCATACTCGCTGAAGAGGTAATGTTGTACAGGAGGTGGTTCCTTCCCATTCCATACAATGATGATCCTATCAAGTGGTACACCATCCTTGTAAATTCTTTTTGCTCTGTGGATGCCCGGAAGTAACAAAGCGTCACTGATGAGAATATATTTGGGGAAGTGGGTGACAAGGTATCCCTTCATCCTTTTGAGTCGGACAGGTTCATCTCGCTTAATGAGATGTAGTGAAACGACCTTTCATTCAATGATGCGTTGGATAGCAGCCATTTCCTCTCGGCCTACACAGACGAAACGTGGGGTGCTACCTGGGTCACACAGTGTATCAAATGATGTTGAATTATTCATGGTGGACGTGGAGGAAGCTTGGGTAACAAATATTTGTTTTGAAATTATTATTTTTCTGTTTTAGAGAGATAGAGAGAGAGAGAGAGAGAGAGAGAGAGAGAGAGAGAGAGAGAGAGAGAGAGAGAGAGAGAGAGATATGGGAGTGGGGGAGAAGGGAAGGGTTGGTTTACAAAGAAAGACGGTAACGAGGAAGTTTGGGGTTGGACCAGTGCGTGTTGGGTGAAAATACGGTGTTGAGAACCAGTGTAGTTCCCCCTCACTTCACAACCTAATTTTACAAGTGAGAGAAGCAGCGAAATGGAAGCTCCCGAGAATATGCACATTAACTTTTCTCCCCCCCCCCAATGACGCGAGTAAATCATTGAGAGTTGGTTGAAAATCCGCCCTCCCCACAATATCTCATTATCATATTCTTAGAGTGTTTCGTTCAGAATCCAGCGTCTGTCGTCAGCAAGTTCGACAAATAAATGTCAACAAAACTCTTCACGTGTCGTTAACGGGAGACGTGGGATGGTGTGTGTGTGTGTGTGTGTGTGTGTGTGAAAGATAAATTTATTTAAATTCTCTTTCACAACACAGAAACAAGTGACATTTGAATTTGTTCACCTGGTAACCGCTTAACTAATTTTAACATGAAACCAAGAGGTCATTTATTTTCTGTTTATAAGAGTTCACGTCCAGCATGATAAATGACTCGACCACTCATAGCTTTGTTGACTCAGAGCAGCTAGGTTTCTTAAGACGAGGACACACTCACACACACACACAAACACACCAGATCATTAAAGAAATTCTCAGCAGGCCAGGAAAACCTTCCATATTGGTTGCGTGAATCAACTCGGTGCCCGCCTTTCCTTCCCAGATTGGATGTGCGAAGAAGATTTTCCCTAAGTCTCTTTCTATCCCTATGGTTCTCATGACTCACCTGGTGACCCCTGCTCGTGTTCTGGGTAATAAGTTCTATATACAGGAGCGAACACAAACACCTGTATAGTTAGTAGGTTCAATTTACTGGATAAGAGATATGTACACAAGGGGAGTAGCGCTCCTTAACCTATCTGCTGGTCAACTGCTCTCTAGGCGACGTTTGGTAAGTGATACATAAACAGCTTCCATATGTCGCCAGGCACATTAATTAAGCATGTGGGACATTGATAAATACATTGCCACACGCTACTAGCTAGGCTAAATAAATAATACATAAATGGAGCACATACATAATATACACAGCATAATATAAATACAGCATACAGAATATACATACAACCCCAAAAAATAATTTTCTCATGGCAGGAATATCTATACAAAGGGTTAGGTAGTTCTTCTGAAAGGTAGCCTTTTCAGTTTCCTTCTCTGCCTCAGATTCTCTGTGATAACACTGTGAGAGGAACACAGACAAATCAGCTTTACTTTTACCTCTGAAGTTTTCCTCTGCCATTCCTCTTGCAAGATGATAGTGTTTCTTGTTACCTAAATTATAGCACTAATTATATGGCTAGCTGCTGCTCATATGGGTAGAAATTATGCAGAAAACTTGCAAGAACAGCAGGAATTAGTGGAATCCATAACCTTTTCCCATGGTGTTAATCAATTTGACTCAGTGTTAGGTGTGTCATTCATTCAACAGAAAACTATTCATAGTTTTAGTTAATACTCAATCATTATAAAACAGACTTATCTCTCAATTCTACTCTCATTATGAAGAAAGGTAACAATCCATCTGTAAGACTGGTTTAGTCTCGACCATGTACGACGAAGCGCTATTATAGGTGCTAACTCTGATCTAAGCTTTGTCAATTAATTTTCTTAACGTTGTGTAGGAAAAATCGGAACTGAAAACCAGCAGATAAAATAGTCAGCATGATAATGCATGATACTAAAGCAGAAATTACAAGTTATTTTATTTATGCAAAAAAAAAAGAAAAAGAATGAAACATCTTCAACACTTTCCCTCCTTACTAAAACTTTTATAGCAAAATTAGCAACAGTAAATATCATTAATTGGTTATGTACCAAGTGTGTCTATAACTTGAAACAAACTAAGAAAAATTAGATTAGAGAATGAAATAAGAACTTTAACATAACAATTGTGTTTTATTTATAGTTGTAGTTAGTGTTGAGGTAGAGCGGTAACCACAAGCTCACCATGTACCTCCTTAACACTCTCTTATACTGTCTCTCCCAACAGGAGGCACCGTCAAGTTCCGTGAACTATTCTGGAAGAACCGCCTGCAGACAATCACCTACTGCGCCGTCTTTTGGTCCTTCGGCATGTGTGTTGCTTTCCTGGGTCCTACAATAATGGATTTGTGTGAGTTTTACTCTACAACGTTCATTTTCATGTAAATAATGTTTATTTATTTCTACATTAGTTATTAGAGCGTCTGAGATTTTGTTTGAGGCAGACTACTATAGTGCGTGAAAGGTGTATTAATATGTTTATGGGTGTCTGTTTATAAAATACTTTCGCTAATTGCGTGTGAGTTGGGATTATTGAAGATACACAAGACGTGTCCCTGTATATACTGAACGATGTTAGTGCCACAATACAACAGATTTATGTGAGTGGGTGCTGAATGTATAGTGTTTACTCCCATATGTAGTGTAAAGATTGTCTACTTATCTTTGAGTGTTGTATGCAGTGAAAGAATACGAAATATATTCCTTATATAAAGGTCATTCATACGTTTGTAGTAAATGTTTGCAGCTGTAATCTGTATTTTGTAAAAAAAAGCACCATCCCCTGAGGGAGGTGAGCGAAGAAAGCCTTTATAGTTGGGGTGTCCTGGGGGGAGGAAGTCCCCCCCCCTCGGGAATTTTTTTTTGAAATCTGATCTATTTGAGGGTCATTTTGAGGCCACAAGGAGTTTGATATGAAAGTGCCATGAATTTTGGTATTATTTTATCTGTTTTTAATGAAAACAGTTAATATGCATTAAAAGCAACATGCATACTGCTTCTTCACGAAATATTGGCTATCAATATGTACTTCAACTTCATGTGTAGATGAATCATATGCCATACAATGACATTACTAGATAATTTATTTATAATAATAAATTAAAGACACAGGGTCATTGAATGCAACTTTACAGCTCAACCATGGCGAAAACAAATTAAATCTTTCACATATAATATTATAGCAGGGTGTTTATACTTGGCTTCAGAATAATGAAAGAGGATTTTCTCCCCCCTAAGTTCTTCGCATCCCAAATGGGTTGATCTGCCTCTTTTCTTATGACTAGTGGATACCCTATCCCCTTGTTGCTGATGATTGAAAAAAAACACACCATCAAGGAGGGCACTTCGTAAATGGCAGAGCGGGTGCACGTGCTGCCGTCGCAGTGTCTGCCTCGCCTCTGGATACTTCCCTAAGATGATCAAAATCGCCGTTAGCCGCCTCATACCATAAGCAGGGAAGCCTCCAAACAAAGTCGAAAACGTTCGACCAATATCACTGCCAGAGGTACCTGCCAAAATCGTCGAAAAAATAGTAAACAAGCGATTGCGGATGTATCTGGAGGACGAAGACGTGCATAATTCCTACCAGTTCGGCTTCTGCCAGTACCAAGGCACTTAGTCCAGGCCTACGAGCAGATTGCCAACGCCATGACTGGCCGCCTACAGTGCAACGTAGTGCTGAGGGACGTCAGCAAGGCGTTTGACAAAGTTTGGCACGCGGGGCTACAGTATAAGATCATACAACTGGGGCTACCCGAAAACCTGACGCACGGGCTGTGCAACTTCATTACAGACCACAGAGCAAATATCAAGTTGCAAGAACATTGTGGAGTAGCATTCTCTCTCTCGAGCGGCGTGCCTCAGGCTCTTGTCTCTCGCCAACCCTTTACACGCTCTACACGACTGACCTGCCACCCCCAATCGTCAGCAGCGAGTGTGTCATGTATGCCAACGATGTGCACGGGACACGGATCGTCACCTGCCAAGGAAGGTCCACGGCAAGGATGGAGCGACTCACTTCTCGGTCAATAGAGGAGATCTCGGGGTATGAAAATACATGAACGATAAAAACAAACAAAACGAAATTCGAGGTCATACCCATAGCCAAATTCAAGCCGGCCTCATTGATGATCGACGACGAAGAGATTGAGTACTCTAAACAAGACAAGTTGCTCGGCCTCATCATCTCTCGGACGGGCTTCATTTCTCACGTGAAGGACAGACTAAAGAGAGCCGAAGACGCCGCCGCCAAATTAAAACGTTTTAAACTGATGCCTGAGAAGATACAAGTCCACCTGTACAAGACGCTACTGAGGCCTGTGTTGGAGTACCCACACTCGTCACGCCCGGGAAGACCAGACTACAACAACGCAAAAGCTTCCAAAACAAGTGTCTGAGGTCAGCCAGTGGCCAAGCGCCACCCTCCCAGGAGACAGTGGAAACCATCCACCTTAGAAATAAAACGTAGGCCCTCAACGCCAGGTTCATCGCCTTGGGAAGAAGGTTTGGGACAAGCTCCTGGACGACCCTCACAGCCCAGACCACCAACGCAGGGAAGACATCAACGGAAGGCGACCCCACGCCTGGTGGCTCTGGAATCTGCCCGCACTACGACAACCCAACCCGCGACCCATCTATGTCCGCCACAACGATCCGCCTTATATTAAAACTGAGATGTTATAAGATCACATTTAACAAGTCACAATCTAGTGAGTCCATAACGTAATACTGTAATAAGATTTTGACAATAGACATGTAATTGTAAAATCAAACTAGTCATTGCCAACCAAAGTAACCATTGTGCAACCTCATCCTAAATCCTAGGTTAGCTTAGTTAGCCAACAAACTCTGTAATATGTAAAACAAGGGGTGTCGTCCCCCTCTGTTTAACTCATTACCTTATTTTCTAACCTTTCCCTCACAAATATCTGTCGTGACTTCTCTATCCTTCATGTCTGGCTGTGCCTTGAGCTCCATCATGCCTTCCATCCTTTCCCCACCTTAACATAAAAAAGCCCCTCTTGAGTCAACCTGTGCACGTGCCTGCTATACACGCTTGGTCAGAAGTTCCTCCCAACTACAGCAGCTCTATCTGGCGGCGAGTTTCGGAGTTACACTGGTCGCTGTCTGTTCACTCACTACCCGGAAACGAAACTTTGATCATTAATTCATTTGGTTTTTGTTCAATTACTAACTTTTTTCAATTCCCTTCTGCCTATAACTCTCTAATGCCATGAAGATTTGACATTTTTAAGTGTTACTCCATCGTCTCTAATACAGTAATAGCTGTACAGTATTGTCTTTTTTCCACTCGTGTATCTAACCACCATATTCTGGTTCACCAAGTTTACACCGCATTCTAGCCTCCCCTGACCAGTCAACATTCCTGATGCTTAATATAGTGAGTACAGTATTACATAATTGCCTCGGGTAATTATCCTTACAAGGCGAATGATTAATTGTGCTGATATATTATCGTTAATATGCATTAATCTGCAACGCTATTATGCATATAACTAAATATATATTCCTGATTTATGTAGAAATGGAGACATATGGAGCAGACGCACTGAAAGTGATAGCCAGCATGGGGAAGCATATGGTGTAAGAATAATTGCCCATAGTTTCGCTCTGTCCGGGAAAGAACCCTGGACCGCTTGCATGCGAATAATACACACACTAACCCTTGTGGGAGAGCCGAGTGCACAAGTCTCTCCCCTGCCGGTGCACAGCCTCTCCGTCACCAAGATTCCTTCAAGCCTCCTCGTGGCAGCGCATGGTAACTGGGTGCTTTACGACCCCAGGCAAATTCTGTAGAGGATCTCGGAGCAGCAGTGGGCCCCAGAAAGAGTGCAGGCACGCTGGCGTGCGGAAACGCCCTGACACCTACCAATCATTGCATCTCTCCATTGCCTTGTGGATTATTTCGGGTGGACATAAGGTTCGGGGAGCTCAGCCTACATAAAGACACGGTTGGGTGACCTGCTTCAGGCAGACTTTGACAGACTGGAGCTCTGGCAGTCTCCTGCAATCATAGTCACCTGAATGTCGTCTTGAGTCTGCTCTTGCAACCGAAACTTGGTGATCAGGACCAAGCTGGTGGTATGGGGTCAGCGCACCCTTACCGTCACGATAATCATTTCATTTCCATCTTCATCATCACAACCTTACACAGTCTTACGGCGATGGGATAGGGTGACGGGAACAGGCCGAAGATGTGGCGGGAAGTCACTAGCCCGAGTCCTGCACGCAGGCGGCGTAGGAGTGATGGGACAAGGAACAGAATCCTCCTCCGGGAGCTTCCTATGAGACTGAGCAGCCCTCTTCAGGGAGCCCCACTGGCCACCCCTGACGGGGAAGGGTTGAGAAAAGGAGATCTAAAAATTGGCTGTTTCGTCAACTCCGGGGCGGCTCACCGCGGCCGTCAAGGTATCCCGAAAAGCGGTCGAAATACACACACTAGAGAACGACTACCCCTCACAGTTGGGGCTTGGAATATCCGCACCCTCCTAAATACCCGAGAGACAACGACAGGACCTCAAAGACATTGTACTAAACAAAAGGCACATCGACATTGTCGCTCTAAGTGAAAAGAACCTCTCTGGCAGAAGTTGGAGAAGGCGACACCTTTATTGGAAAGGGTACCCAGAGGACCAACGCCCACTGCACTGGGTGGGTTTTGCTGTCCGTAATACCATTCTGCACAAAGTACCAGAAACTCCGATTGGCCTAACTGAAAGACTGATGTTATAGCGCATCCCTCTAACTAAAGGGCGCTATGCAACCCTTTTCAAGACCTGCACACCAACATTAGATGCTGTCAATCTATCCAAAGACTCCTTTTACGACTCACTAGACCTTGCTTTCCGCAGGACACCACTTAACGACAAAATCTTAATCCTCGGTGACTTCAGTGCAAGAATCGGTAAAGACTCTCACTAATGGGAAGGCATTCTAGGCCGCCATAGCATCGGCAACATGAGCAGCAACAACCTAAGACTCCTCTCTTTGTGCTCAGAACATAATCTAGTCATGACCAATACTTTATTCCTACATAAAACAAGCACAAAACCTCCTGGATGCACCCAAGGTCGAAGCACTGGCACTTACGCGTCAACATCATAGTCAGGCAACATGACCAGCGAGAAGTTCTCCAAACCCGGGCCATGGGAGGTGCAGAGTGCTCCACCGACCATAACCTAATCCGCTCCAAGATGAGGCTCGAAATCCGTTCCTAAGTGCCATTACTACCGAAAAATGCAACGCCCTCAAAAAACCAGCAGTAGATGAAAATTTCCGCCGCACTTTAGCTGAGCGTCTGTCCTTCACACGCACAATCGAGTTAAGCAA